AATCAAGTAGGGTGACCAGACAGCAAATGTGAACAATTGGGATGGGGGTGGGGTAATAGGAACCTATATAAGAAAAAGACCCCCAGATCAGGACTGTTCCTATCAAATCGGGATATCTGGTCACTCTAGAATCAAGAGAGAGTCGGAGTCAGGAATCAGAGCCAAGGGTCAGAACCGGATCACCGGGGGCAGGGAAGAAGGGAGCAGGGCTGGTTCTGAGGCAGGAGCAAGGCTGGGTGTAGGACAGGATCTGGGCTGAAGCTGTGGAGGAACAGAGCAGAAGCAGGGCTTGGCAAGAGCTGAGCCCAGGGAGGCAGAGAATCACTGAGCACCCAGCGAGCGACTGCTGCTGCTGAGTTTAAGAACCAGACAGCTAACTTCTTCAGCCAATCTGGCAGGGTGGTCCAAGCAGGACAGTGTCGGAGGATGGTGCCGTGGGGAAGGCGAGCAGAGCTTCATCATCATGGGCTTGCTTCTGGACGGCGCCGTGCCTTGTGGTGCCGGAGGTCTATCTTGCCTGGTGGGAAACTGCGGTGCCATCATGGCAATCAAGTCCCTGGCCACCTCAAACGTGTCCAGGATGGAAGGAAGCTCCTGCTCCTCCACCTGGCACTCTCTAGCAGGAGGGTCCAGTGGCACCAGACTTGACGGATCCCTCTGCAGGCCCAAAGTCGACAGTGCTGATCCCTGTGTAGGACGCAGACCGCTTATGCTGTCAGACTCAGTGCTCTGACCATGGGTGATCGCCCTCTATTCGTCTTCTTGTGCTGCTTTGGTGGCATTGATGAGTGCGAGCCGTAGTTTCTCTAACAGAGGCCAGAGCCGGCAGGGGACGGAGGGCTGCCTCCATAAGGAGTTCTTTGAGCCTGAAGTCCCTTTCTTTCTTTGTTCTCGGGCGGAGAACTTTGCAGCTCTTGAAGTGAGCTGTTTGATGTGCCTCCCCCAGACACTATAGGCAGGAGTCATGGGGGTCGCCCATTGAGATGAGCTTGTAGCAGGTCCCGCACGGCTTAAACTCTTGGGATGGAGGCATGTGCCGAACCCCAAGAGGGGAGGGAACTGGTCTTGGGGGAACCCCCCACTTCTATCAAACTAATTACTGAAAACTAACCCTAACTAATTAACTATTTACAGGTTAACAGAAAGTCCAATCACTGGGGAAACTGCTTGCGGAGGCAAGAGAGACACACAGCTCCAACAACCGTCACAGGCAGTAAGAACGAATTGAAGAGGTGGCGGGTCGGCAGGGACCTATATACACCGCCATGAAGGCGCAGCTCCGGGGGCTCCACAGCTGACCCGACGGGTACTGCTTGGGGAAAAACCTTCCGACGACTGTGCACGCGGCATACGCACACCTACTTGGAATCGACATGAGCAAGCACTCGAAGAACTTGGCAGATTCCCCCACAATGAAACCCTAATGCAGGGCAGCTTTACCGTTAATCTGTGCGTTAGATTAGGAGTCAGCAAGCACCTGACAGGGCTGTAGCCATGGGTGGGCCTGAGTGGGCTGTGGCCCACCCACTTAGCATCCAGGCCCACCCAGATCGGGGCTGGAGCCCCCCGAATCCACAGGCTGGGACTCCCAACACTGGGTCGGTGTCCATCCGTGTCCCGCTCCTGCCAGCGCCACATGCTGCTGCCCTGGTCTCCAGCCCTGCCCCTACAAGGTACACCCCCGCCCTCCCCCAGGCAGCCTCATGGTCAGGTGCCTGCTGAGCAGTGAAGGACGGCTGGAGATGGCGGGGGAGGCAGGTCTCCCTATCCCCAACCGCCCCATCATTGCCCGCCCAGTTTCCCTGCCCTAGCTACGCCACTGCCTGTAAAGAAGGAAAGTGCTCTCTTCAAATCACCACTCTGCCAGCAAAAATTGCTGAAGACTGGTTCTTATCAGCCTTCCCTTGAAACTTCAGCAAAGCCTGAAATACAGGCCCTGGGAGAATTCGTCTGAGAGGAGATCCCGACAAAGGTGTGGTGAAGTCAAGGGGTAGTCTGTCGTATAGCAGAGGGTACAGTTTCTCAACCAAGAAACAGGCCTTCTATCCCCAATATTCAGCTAAGCTCTGTTCACGGTACCTCTACCACTACCCGACCGCAGAAAAGGTCTCATTGAAAAGCGGCTCTCTGACAAGGCCCCCTTTGTGCACTGGAAAGTGATCTCAGCAGGATTAGAATTAAATCCCATTTCCTTTACCCTTTTTAGGAACACTAGTACAGCTGCTTCAGTCTCCAGAGTGCTTTAGAAGCATTCCCAAGAGCATTCCCGTGAGACAAGTCATCCCGTCGTACTCGTGGGGGAAAAGGCGGGCACACACAGCCTGACACATTTCAGGCAAGTCACTTAATACTGAGAAAACTCTCAGGAGTCCTGCTAGAAGCTGCCGTTACACAATAATGCTGAATTTACTCCATTTGCTTTTCCATGACCATAGTGTGATGCCACAAACGCAGGATAATGACACCATAGCAGGCTCAAGTTCAAGGAGAGGAAGAACTGGGTTACAGTCTATGCATATATTTTATTCTCATGCAGAGACCCAATAACAACAATTGTATCTAACTCACTGATCCCCACTCCTTCAGCATCTGACCTCTTCCTTGCCTGCCCACCCCCAGACACCCTAGTGCAGTGGAGGAAATAGACCGCAGGAGCTGGAGGAGGGCACCTGCATGGCGCAGCAGGTAAGAGCTCTGACTATGTGCCACGAACAGACCTCTGGTATGGAACTCGAGATGGGGGTGCCCCTCCACCCTCCCTAAATGGCAGTCCTGGCCAAGGCTCCCACGGCTTCCCCACAGCTGCTTGTGTCATTCCCACATTTTTGCAGTGCGGGTGCAGCAACAGGGGCAAGAGTCGCGCACTGGCTGTATGGAGGTGGGAGATCACCCTGAAGCCCCCCGCCTCCCCTGAGACATGGACTCAGAGGTGAGGCTGCACCCGACCCTGACACAGTGCCAGGGCTGAGCCTCTCCAGAAACACGCAGGGACTCTGCCCATCTGCACTAAGCTGTAATGTATCTATAGCCTGAAAAAGAAAACTCAGAGAGAAGGGAAGAAGCAGCTGACAGGGATGGGAGAGAATGGGGATGGACGGATGGAGAGAATGGTATTGGTTCCCTCTAACTAGACAGCAGGGATGGGTTTGTGTCTTGGAGAGAAGACGGTTTCCATTCTTCTCAGCAGACTGGGAAACCATCAAATTAAAGAGGCACTTTGTAGCCAAGTCTAACAGAAAAATGCATGAGTCTCAAATAACATTCAGGGACAATACCTGAGCAGGAAGCCCTTCTCCTCCATCAGTAGTGAAGTAAAGGGGGTGGGATTTGGCGTTCCCACCATAACACAGCCCTTGGACTCCACTGAGTAGGAAAGGAATTATTTGAAGCAAACTCTGGTTAGTAGGTTTAGTCCTCTGGTTATTAGATGTGTGGTTGTGACTATTGATAACACTTTATGATCCTCTGGTGCCTTTTATCCAGAAGGATTTCAGTGCTTTACACATGGTATTATTTT